ACTAAACAAATAGAAAAACTTTTACAGCGACAATGGAAAGCGGGGGCGATCAGGGTAACCACGATGATGATGATGCCGATGATGATGACGATTATCGTGATGATGGTGTAAAAGAAGCAGAAGAAGAAAAAGTGTTCAATGCCTGCGCCCATTGTCAAAAAGAATCAACAAAAAACTGAAATCGGATATTAAATGCACAACAAACAGCAACAACAACAACAACAACAACAAATAACAACAACAAACAGCTAGAGAAAACGAACAAAGGCGAACGCTTGAAATGAATACGCCAGAAGGAGACATTGCAGCCGGAGCAGCTACACTGAGAGAAAAAGGAACTAGGGCTAGACTATAGAACTATATGAAAGTTCACATAGTCGTATTGCACTTTTTAAAGCTTAGATCAGACATTAGGGTTACCATATTCTGGTAAATATGGCGAATATACCTCGTAACAGTAGTTTCACAAATACTGCTCAACATTTATGTTTGTGATTTTATTTGTATCGTAGACATTGGGGTGACCATACTTCAGGCGCTAAGAATATGCAATTGAATACAGACACTCCAAGTTGTAATTACACAGTCTATAGACCTTGGAAAGTTCTATCAATTATATATATTTTTTTAACTTTCGAAACGCACCACATTCATTAAGGTGGCCATATTTCGAACAAACAAACACCCTAAAACCAACCTTACAAATATTTTTAATATATAGTCTCAAGATGATTTTGCTTAGCTTCACGATTATTTATACTTTGTGATACTACAAAACAAAGATGACCATATTTGGACACTAGAAATACTAAATTTACTAAAAGTACCTATCTTCCATATCTTCGTTCGTTAGATGTCTAAATAAATTATTGATTTAATTTCATTGAAAATATGACACCCATACATTAACGTTTATTTAGTTATAGGGTGGCCATATTTGCGAAATGCTCTATACATTTTAGCTACAGAGTGACCATATATTTGGAAAAATATTAAAATTAAAAAAAAAAATTATACATAAAAAAAATTATATCTGTATATTCTTATACACTTAAACTATAATCCCAACAATACCCAATTTCGCGCAGTGTACTAGTGTTACTAGAGCAGCAGGCAGGCGACTCTGGTGGCAACTAAATAGTTGCACTAATATGTCCATGACGATGGCAAAAATGGTAAAATAAAACCCACAGCACGTGTGTGTGTGCGCGTGCATGTGTGTCGGTGTGTGTGTGTGTCTGTGTGTGCTTGCTGGAAAAGCCAGCTGTGTCCCTCTTACAGTTTTGGCTAGGAGCTGTCTCGTAATTGAGGCAAAAGTTAAGGACCAGCATCGCAGGACAATGCGAGAAAAGGCAGCGCAAAGTGCAGGCAGCAGGAGCAGGAGCAGCAGCAGGAGTAGCAGCAGTAGCAGGAGCAGCAGTAGCAGCAGTACGAAATGGAGGCATAACTCCAAATGGCCATTCGATATGGTTACTTAAAGGGTAATTAAATTAAACGTGCAGCAGAAACAGCAGTCGACGCAGCGTGTTGTCCCTGTTGACATCCACAACAAAAGGACACGCGGCGAATATCCTTTCTGCTAGCTGAATCACAGCACCCTTTCGACAGAGTGAGAGAGAGAGAGAGACAGAGAGAGAGCGAAACTTCGACTCGTATATGCATATTTCATTATGACAGCAGGAGGCGCGCTGTGGCAGGGGCAAGCTGAATGAGGGTTGCTAAGCGAGAGGCGGAGGCTGCCGGTAAGGATGCTCATAAAGGATGCTTCCTATCGCGTGTCAAATCATCGTTATGATTGCAATGTTACCTGCCAACCCCTCACCCCACCACCTCCTGCTCTACACCTTCCCCCCTCTCTACAGCTATCTAATACATCGTGTTTTTTTTTTTTATCATTTGTTTAGCCAGACAACGCCTTGAAATTGATGATCAAATGATGATTAAAATGTATTCATGCAGGCTTTTTTATTAACTGGATGAGCCCGGGCAGGGGGTGGGAGGAGGCGAGTGTCCTGCTGAAGCTGCCTAATGATTGCGTTGATTAATTATGAATCAATTACATTGTAAAAAACGAAAGCGAATTTACGTTGGTTTTCGGAATAGAATTTGAATGGAGAATGAAATTTCATTTGCTACGGTTAGGCATATGGAATTTATGGAGGAGGTATAGAGCGGGGTCACATGGGAAGGTGTTTGAGCTTTGAATTTATTTGGTTTAAGTGCTGAGTTCAACTGATTTCAGCATCGAGCTTAAGGCTTAACAGAAAGAACTGTTTACATGAAATTTAAGTCGCATAAAAAGTATAGAAAAATAATAATAATAATAATTATAAGAATACAAAATGGTTTATGACTCTAGAGTATATTCAAAATTAACGGATTGCACTATTCTGATGATTATTTACATAAATATACTTTAGTTGTATAAGATACATAACACAAAGCAAATTAAATATAATTTCCTTTGGCTCATTTATATATTTGTGCACTTCAATATTTATAGTTTTTTATGCTTAAATATTTTTTTCTATATAAACTCATTAGAAATAAATGTAACTAAATTGAATTTAGTAATTTCATATATTACCAGAAATTTAATAATCAAAAGCCAAGAAAGAAAAAAAATCTTCAAAATTCGAGCAAAAATAAATAATAAAAACTTTATGCAAACACAAACTTTGTTAACCCCGAAAGAGTTCTATGCGGCTTATAGATGATAATGATGATGTGGATGAAGATGATGATGACTTAGCTAACCAACGCAAGAGGATTGGGTCAGTGAATGTGCGCTTAATGTAACCACACTTATATACATACATAAACACATTCATACACATACATACATATTATGTGCTGCATTTTAAAGGGCACAAATTAGAAGCTGAATTTAACAGAAATTTATTTACAGCATAATTCAGTCAAAATGTCGAAACTCAAAGCAATCAAAAAATAACTCAAAAGTTTCTTAATTAAAATCATATTTGTGTTACAATTCGACATGAAAAAGTATTGCGCCATCTCGCTCTCTCTCTCTCTTTGCCTCTCTCCCTCTCTCTCAATCCCCATTGCTGGACCAATTAAAAGTAGACAAAAATTAAATTATGCAGTTAGAAAACAGCTGCACGAAGAGCGCCGGCTAAAAAATAAAAAAAAGAAGATTGGCTACAGCAGTTGGTCGCCCAAAAGCTACAATTGAATTAGAAAGCAGAAGAAGTAAATGAAGAAGAAATGAAGAGGAAGAGCAACAGCAGCGGCAGCAGCAAAATGTTTGCCTCTGCTACAAGCGAAGGTGGCATCCCATTCAAGTGCGGCGAATTGAATTTCTCTTGCTTAGTTTTGTATATTTGTATACCCTAGTCGAGTGTAAATTTGGGGTATATTGAAGGAGGCGGTGTGGTGAAACCTTTAAATATATCTGATTGATTATAATGAAGAACTTAATAAATATAACCATACCTAACTGTTCGCCCCCCCACTTCCCCCTCCCTTCCTCACTCGACAGAGTATCTACTAGTCGTACACTCCCCACTAGAACACTCTTGTTTCATTTTTTTTCCTCCCACTCTTCGCTTTTGCCATTTTATTCAAGTTTTTGGCAAAATGGCGCAGCGCATTGTGTAGCAGGGCAATGGGTGTGTGTGGGTGCGAGAGGGAGGGAGGGACAAGGAAGAGGGAGACAAATTATAGTCAAAAGAAAATGTGATTTTGCAGCAAATGGTGGACGCGCAGCTATAGAAAACAAGACGGCAACGCTTTGTAATTGAATTGAGCGCCGAAAAGCACGAACAAAAAAAAAAAAAAAAAAGCACGAAATAAAATTTGAAGCAAATAAAAAGAAAGGCAAATACAACCACAAAAGAAAAGCGCGCCAGAGAGCGAGCGAGAGGGGCGAACAATGGCGGCGGCTGCTAATAAAATAAACGAAAAGCTTTTGTAAGCAAATTGAAAACATAAACAAACGAAAATTGATCAACACAAAAAACAAGAAAGAGAAAGAGAGCGAAACAGCAAAAAAAAAAAAAAAAAGAACTAGAGTAAAAGGACGCAGCACACAAAGGATAAACCAAATGTTTTTGCTAGCAAAACAAAAGCCAAAACGAAAAACTGTCTAAAGCAAAAACAACAAAAGTCACAACAACAACAACAACAGCAAAAAAGTGCATAACAAAGGTTTTTTCGCACAACAAAAGCACAATAAGCAAATGTATATGAAATTCAATTTGTGCGAAAATAAACAAAATGGCGTCTGTGTTAGTGTGCGTTTGTGTGTGTGTGTATGTGGGGAACAACAGCAGAAATTCGATTAAAACTTTTGCACTGCCCAAAATAAATACACACACACAAACACATACAAAATCATGCACGCACGCACACAGAAATAAGCGCAAATTAAAGAAAAACAAGCAGCGTCGCCGACTGCGCGCGGGCAGCATTAAAGTTTTGCCCAAAAATAAAAACAAAATCAAACTTTAAGCAGCAACTGTAAAAGCGAAGCAGTCATAAAAACGTGCAGGCAAAAAGTTAGCGGCGAGTGTTGAAAGCGCCCGCAATAGCAGCGATAACAACAACAACAACAGCAACAACAACAACATCAACAACGGGAACAGGAACCATAACAATGGCTGCACTTGCTCATAAACTGCAGTTGTGCATGCACTGCCCAATTGTAAACACAGCCAGCACAGTTTGACAGTCACTGCCCATGCAGCGCACATACACACAAACAGATGTAACAGCAACAGCCGCCGCACACTAGTTGTCACGCTCGCACACAGCATAGACACGCCCCTGAACACACACACACACACACAGATATACGCGAGTCGCTGCTCGCACACACACGCACACGCAGTTTTCGAACGTCACAATTTTTCGAACTTGCGCCATTTCCCCTACTTGCGCGCGTCTGTGTGTGTTCACTTTGTGCATTTCTTTTATTTTCTTTGTTTTTGCTTCTACTTTTTTTTTGGTTTTGGTTTTGATTTTGCTTTTGTACTCACTTTATCATATCCGGTAGGCGTTCCGGTACTTTAGGGTGGGTGTTTTTCTTCACATAGCTCGATGATAGCGCCTCGGTGCATGCCAGCATTAGCTCCGTGGATAACTCGACCGGATGTTGTGGTGATTTTTCTTCGGGTAACTGCAAATGGCGAGTGAACGAAACGAGAATAGAAAATATGAAATACAAATAAGAAATGACAAAAAATGAAATACAAAATACAACAACAAAGTCAAGAAGTGTCAATGTACCGTTGCGGCTGTTGTTGCTGTCGTGTTGTTGTTGTTGGTGCACAATTGTTGCATGCTTTGCGGCGTTAAGCGACATATTTCGTGTGTGTTCAAATTAATTATAAAAGTTATCAGCTACAACAATAACAACAACTGCAACAACAACAACAGTGGCGGCGGCGGCGGCGGCAACAGCGAACACTCGCATCAATCAAAATGTTAATTGATGTTTTTTAACGCGACGCGCTTTATCTCTTTCTCCTCTCTCTCCCTCTCCCTCTCACACTCTGCTGCGGCTGCTTCTTCTTCATTACATGACAAGCGGCGTGCGCGCTGATCCATCAGCCAAGGCAGCAGGAAGCGCGGAGCGAGGAGTGCAGAGCAGGAGAGCGAAGTGAAGTGGAGTGAGCAACTAGGTGACAAAGCACAACAATAAACACGAGCCAAAACAACAACAACAACGACAACGACAGAGCAGTAAAGGAATATCCATATATATTTTTTATGGAAAGCAACAACAACAATAACAATGGATAAATAAAAGTGGCTTTTTACGCGCTTTAACGATTGATTTAACAGCAGGCCGCAAATTATACACACACACATACATGTATGTATACATACATACATGTAAACATTTATGCATATACATAAAAAATAAAACAATAACAAAAGAGACGCACGCGAAACTTGACAGTCAAATGCTGACAAATTGTGTGAAAGGCAGAAGAGAGAGAGAGAGAGAGAGGGCGAGATGGAGAGAGAGAGGGGAGTGTGGCTGGAGGAGTTTGACATTTGCGGCTAGTGCGTTACGAATTTATAGGCCACAACAATAACAACAGCAACAACAACAACAACAACAACAACAACAACAATGCGTCGCCGCGGCCAGTAAATAAAATTCAAATAAAAATGCCACACAAAATAAAAACAAAAACAAAGACAAAGGCGCAAAGGCGGCGGCAGCGGCAGAGGCAGCCAGCGCCAAATAAAAGCGTCAAAAGAAATGGCAAATAAACAAGCGCACAAAATAAGAAAACAATAAACTGTAAACTTGGCAAAGTTCGTGAGATTTGTAAGCGCTATCGGTCAAGTCGTCTTGTGAATGCGCTACCTTTAAAATAATGAAATTAATAAAAATTAAAATTAATTATTTATACAAAAAATGGACTATAAGAAATTATAAAATTCTCCTTTGAATCGAAACATTTTCTACAATAATTAAATTAATATTTTTATATACAAATTTAATATATTTATTGGGCTGCCTTTTGAGGGAAAGCGGAAAAAAAAATATATAAAAAAAAAATATTTTGAAATACCAATTTAGTATATTAAAGTCCTCTTTTGCATGAAAGCCTTTTCAATAAATGTTATAGTCACATTAAAGAAACGAAAAAATAATTATTACTGTTATTTATAATTATAATCATATATATGTACACATATGTATATATATATTCTTATTACTTTTTCTTATTTTTTTCAAAATTCTATATCTGTAAATTTCACTAAATAAAAGCTACTTTATTTACTTTGAGGATTATTAAATAAAATAATATTTTGCCTTATATTGTTACCAAGCTCATCTAGAAACTGAAATGCCCTGCAATCGAAATATATTTTATGGCTCTGGCGTATGGAGAAAAAACAAATCAGCGCAGCCAAGTGTTAAGTGGCCAAGTCAGGGACCAGAGCCGACAAGGAGGCAAGCAGCAGGAGTCGGGATCAGAGACGGAGAGAATGTGAATATGTGAGAGAGAGAGATGGAGGGGGAAGAGAGAACGCGAGCCAAGTTTAAAGCATACGACGCAGTTGAGGGAATTACGATTCTAGATGCAATTTGATGGCGACAGTTTGGCGACACTTTTATAGCAACAATTTCTCTTCTTCTTCTTCTTCGGCTGCCTTTTACTCACCTGGAAACTTTTGCTGATGGCATCGAAGAGCGTCGCAATGGAGTTGCCCAACAGCGCATGACGCGCTATCTGTGGACAAACGGAGCACGCATTCCGATAAAGCTGGACGGCAAGTGTGACGGATCTGTCAAGGATCAAGGAATGAATGTATTCGATTCTCTCTGAAGCTCCAACTCTACTTACTTCTTGGAGATCTCGGAATTTTCCTCCAGGCCCTTGCTAATCACATAGTTGGTCAGCACGCCCAGACCGTCCATGTTGAGGAACGCCTGGAAGTCATAGGTCTGCGCCTTCGGAATCACACGCAACAGATTGCCCAGCGTGCGATCTAGACCCTGATTACCGCCGCCCTTCATCACCAGATTCAAGAGCTTGGGCACGCTGCTGTCCCGCTTCACATGGGCGGGCAGAGGCTCCAAAGTGGCGAGATAGTCGGCAGCACTGAGCGGGGAAGGAGAAGAGAGAGAGAAAAGCGATTATTTTGAGATATGTGGGATAAATGCCTACACAAATATCAACTGGTCTTAACTAGTGGCATACTAACTTGGTTTATTAGCTTCACAAAGTATAAATAAGATGATCGATATTTATCGATTAACCAATATGGTGCAAAAAGCATAATAGACGTAGATAATATAGATACATAGTAGCTTTGCACTATAGCTATCCACATATATACTTCCATAATATACTGAAAATAGGCCTATCGATAGTTATCGACTGTCTAAAGAGAGTATCAGCACTATTTGAACAAAAATTGATCTATATTAACTATATAAGATGTTGATAGTTCACAGTAGACTAGGCTACACTATGACTATATAGAGGATATATGGGATATATTACATTGGCAAAGTTATCGATATCGATAGTTACCGATTGCTGACAATTTAGTGAATAAACTGTGATCTATTTGATTTAAATAATTTTTTGATAGTTAACAACTAGCTAAACAACAGTATAGCTCTCTACAGGGTATATGAGGTATATTAGACTAGATCATATACTTGACCAACTCACCATTGATTCATGCGCTGCTTGAGCTTCTTCATCTTCTTCTTGTAGCTGCGCGAATGCTCCCGACTGCCGGCGACGCCGCCAATATCAGACAGGGTGGAGGACATATCGCAGTCCTCGTTGGTGGTGCTGGTGGTGTTGCCGTTGAGCAGCTCCGGCTCCTCGTCGCCACGCGCCTCGTCCTGCTGCCGTGTGCTGGGCAGGGTCAGCTCCAGTGCCCGCTGGCGAATGTGTTCGATGTTCTCCTCGTGCCGGCGCGCCGACTCCAGCTGCTTCTGCTGGATCTTGCGCTGCAGCTCCTCGGTGGTCTGTTGCTGCTGCACCTGGAGGGCGAGCAGGCGCTCCTCGCGGTCGCGCGCCTTCTCGCGTGCCAGCGCTTGGCGTTGGCGCTCCTTCTGCTCCTGCATTTTGCCAATGCGCTGCTCCTTCTCCAGCCGCGTCTCGTTCATCTTCTCCAGCTTGAGCAGTCGCTCCTTTTCCAATGCCTGGCGACGTCGCTCCACCGCAGCCTCCTTGGCGGCCTTCTCCTCGACACGCTTCTGGCGCTCCTGCTCCAGATCCTGCAGCCGACCTTCGGTCTCCTTGAAGGCCTCGAGCAGGTCCAGGCGCTTATTCTGCGCTTCGATATTCTTGATGAAGTTAATCTCCTTCAGCTTTTTGTCCTCGTCGTGCGCCTTCTCGATGATCTGGCGTAGGTAGAGCTCCCGATTCTCGGCAGCCCGCTGCAGTCGTCCCTCCATCTTCAGTCGCTTATCCTCGATCAGCTGCTTCTTGGCCGCCTTCACATCCTCCACACGCACGAAGAGCTGTTGCAGCTTCGCTGCCTTCTCCTGCTGCAGCAGCGCCCGCTTCTGCTGTGCCCTGGCCTGCTTGGCCTGATACTTCTTCAGCGTCTCCTGCAGCGAGCGACGACGCGATGGCGACGACAGTTTCTGATGCAGCTCCTGCGCACGACCGGGATGGCGAGCCACATAGGCCTGAAGAGTGGCCAGCGCCTCGGCCCGCTCGTTCCAGGACATATCCGAGAGCAGGGCCTGATAGCGCAGCTCCAAGCTCGCATTCTCGTCGTCGCTCATTGTGACAAAGACGACGGCATCGTCGAGCGCCTGATCCGTACTGTCGTCCTGCTCCTCCAGCTGTACCTCCCCATCCGTTTCATCCGTTTCGGTGTCCACATCGATCTCAGTGCTCTCCAGCTCGCGTATTTGACGCTCCAGCGACTCCTGCACCTCCACGAGGATGCGCTCGTTGCGCTCCTCCTCCACATCCTCGGCCGTTTGCTCCTCGATCTCATCGCAGGCCGCCAGCAGGCTGGCATTGGGCTTCACACAGCCATTTGGCAGCTTGCAGCGAGCGATGCTCTCGTATAGCTCGCCAATGGTCTTGGAGAACTCACAGTTCGTCTGGATTTTGATGTCGATCTTGTTGTGATCATCGTTATTACCTGCAAAAAGGGGAAGGGAATGTGAGAATTATTTGACTGATATATGATATAGGATTGATTGATCAAAAGACTAATTCAGAGATTCACTTATAGATTCAGGCAATGATTGACTGATTGAATGCCTCAGACTCAATGGTATCTGTCTCTCTTCTATTTCAGTCTCCCTCTCTCTGTCGCCCTCTCTCACTCGCTTCCTCTCCCTCAGCTATCTCTGTATCTCCCTCTGTCACCATCTCTCCCTACTTACTCTCATTATCATCCCTCTCTCTCTCTCACTCTCTCACTGCATCTCTCTCATTAACCTCCCTCTCTCTACTTCTCCCTATTTCTGCCCACTTACTCTCATTATCAGTGGCTTGGGCATTGTTTCCTTTGCTCTGCTCCTGCTGCTCCTTCTGCTGTTTGCGCAGCGCGTTCTTCTCGCTGCGCATGTATTCCTTGTGCAGCGAGGTCATCTTAAGTCCAGTGAGATCTGATTTCTGTCGCTTGATAATGGTGGCGCGAGCATTTGCTGCAGATGCTGTATTATTCTGAGTGAAATTGCTGCTGCTGCGAGTCAAGGCAGTTGCTGGCTTCGATTTCTCCTTCTCCTTCTCCTTCTCTTTGTCTTTCTCATTTTCCTTGTCCTTGCCCTTCTCCTTCTCTTTGTCCTTGTCGTTTTCTTTGCTCTTTTCTAGCTCCTTGTCCTTGTGCTTCTCCTGCTGATTGTCCTGCTTTTTTATTTGGGCTCCTGCTCGCTGTGCCGGGAAAGAGTTAACCTTGGCTTTGGCATTCTTGATCTCTGGCCTGGACGCCGGTGGCGCCATCACCTTGGCCGCCTTCTGGCCGGCCTTTGCTTTGGTCTCAGCTGCTGTTGCCTTTGGCTTGCCGCTGGCTTGGCCAGCTTTACTGGCAGCTGCAGCTGCTGCTGCTGCTGCGGCTTTCTCTCGCTGCTGCTTGTCCTTCTCCTCCTTCTGCTCGTTCAGCAGCGCCAGGGTGGGCAGACTGGCATAGCCCGTGGGCTGATTGAAGCGATTCGACCAGTGCATGCTCGTGCGTCGGCGATTCTTGACCGTGTGCCAGCCATCGTTGGCATCCATCAGCTGCTTGGGCTCCGAGTGTCGCTCCTCCAGCTTCAGTGTGCTCCTCGAGCTGCTCAGCTGTTCGTTGCTGGCCTTCAGCGTCGACGTGGAGCTGGCTATGTCCTCGCGCGAGCTCAGACGCACGGTGGGCGCACTCGCACGCTTGCCCAGATTAGGATTCGATGCACCACTCGCACCAGTCACGTTCAGCTGTGAGCCCACGCGCCTGGACAGACTTGGCCGGGGCATCACAGCTGCAGCTGCAGCCGCGCCAACTGCATTCCCATTCATGTCCAGCATCGTGCGCGAACGAGCCGAGAGTCGAGTGGCCACATTGTTGGGCGGTCCATAGCACTCCGCTTTGCTGGCAGGACGCGGCGGTGGCTGAGCAGCAGCCAGGCGAGCGCTGCGCGTCACAAACGGCTTCGCATTGTTGTTGTTGGCGTTGTTGTTGCCGCTGCGACGCAGCCCGTTGAGCGGCGCCGCTGCCTTAGCGCCCGGCTTGCTGTTAACCAATTTACTATTTGCGGCAGCTGCTGACATGGGCGGCACATTTGCCTTGGGATTGCTGCCACGCATGGCAGCTGGACGATTCAGCACACTCGAGTATTTCAAGGGACTATTCTGCATGGCTGGCGCATTGCTCAGCTGCTGCAGCTTCTCCGGCTGCCTCCTCTCGGGCAGGGCAGCCACGGGCTTGAGCAATGTGTTGGGCGGCGTGGGCTGCTTGTTGGCCTGCGCATGCAGCAACACATTCTCCATGGCATCCAAGCGGCAGACAGTCAACTGCACTGCCGTGGGCTCGACGACAGCCAAGGGTGTTGCGGCAGGCGCTAGTGGCGGCTGTGGGACGTGCTCGGGTAAGGGAACGTTTACGGCTGGCTGCTGAGATTCTGCATAAGCTGCAGGCTGAATTGCTGGCTGAATTGCTGACTGAATTGCTGGCTGAGCTGCTGGCAAACCTAAAAAACAAACGTATTAGATATTTATCTTTCGAAATAGGTGAAAGAAATACAAACTGTAGTCTTTTATGAGCACTTATAACTTACCCGCCAGCTGCTTCACAGCGGCTTCCGCTTCAGTCACTTTTCGCTCCTGCTCAGCCGCCTCCTGCTCAGCCGCCTCCTGCTCAGCCGCCTCCTGCTCAGCCGCCTCCTGCTCAGCCGCCTCCTGCTCAGCCTTTTCCTTGGCAACTGCCTCTCTTTCAGCCAGCTCCCGTTCCGCCTTCTCCCTTTCCGCAGCCTCCCGCTCCTCCTTCTCCCTGGCCATCTTCTCGCGCACATCGGCGAGCGTCAAGTGCGGATCTTCCAGATCCGTCTGGGAATATTGTGTATTCAACTCCACATACGACTTGTCGTCAGACAGATCCAATTGCGGAGTCTGCAGCTCCAACTGCGGGGTCTGCAGCTCCAAGTGCGGAGTCTGCAGCTCCAATTGCGGAGTCTGCAGCTCCAACTGCGGAGTCTGCAGCTCATGCACCTCTTGCACCTCTTGCATCTCTTGCACCTCCTGCACATCCGAGTTGGGTGAGCCGCGTGCATTGCGTGGCTTATTGGAGGAGAACAATTCGCGGACATTCACACGCATTGCGCCGCGCGGCAACGGGTCGCAGGCGCGCAGCAGCTTCTTCGGCGTCACGTGACCATCGCAGCAGGGCGACGTCTTGCCCGAGTTGCAGGGGAAGAGCGCCGGACTGGACTTGCCCGAGGTTGTGGGACTGCAGAGGCTCTTGGTGCGCACGCGCGGCGTGGGATTGCTCTTGCGCACCTCCCAGGCGAGGCTGTGGGGGCGCTGCTGCACCGGGCGCGACTCGTAGTCCCAGCTGACCTTGAACCACTCGCTGAGCGCCTTGAAGTCGCGCACATAGTTCTCCAGCACAAGGATCGCCTCCTGGCAGCTGGATATGTTCTCGTAGCACTCAACAGTCTGATAGATCTCGTTCACCGCGCGCTGCAGATTCCCGAAGAGCAACGCCCAGTAGCGCGCCTGCAGCTCCGACTTCTTGTCCCGTCCGGTCGAGGCGCTGCGCACACGCGGTCCACTGGAGCCGGCCAGACCGGCGCTGCCCGGCTTCGATCGTGTTGCCGCCCCCGTCGTCGTCGGCGATTGGCAGTGTTTGGGCGTTTGCATGCCATTTGGCGATTTCGGCGGCGCCATTGGCGGCTTGCGGCTTGTGGGCGTCGGATAACCTAAAACAAATAAGATTTTAGTTGCAAAATCGCCAGGTTAGCCAATGATATACTATAAGTTACCCTGAATATACGCAAGCTTATTTTTAATAAAAAATAATTTAAATAAACAAGAGACAGAAAAGGCAGACAAGCCTCGCTCTGTGTTAACTAAATAAAATGAACGATATGACATTCATATATCCTATAAATAGGAGTAATAATAGATAGGCTAGCTCTTACTCCCTCGCTCTGCATTCCAAGCATATCAGAGATTTATGTGAATCATATAAAGGCAGACGCCATTATCTATACCCTTCACACAAAGGGTATTCATAAATATATATATGATAATAACAAAACTCCAACTTACAGTCTCCATTGACTACAGCGCCATCTCTGCCAGCGCCGACGCCGACGCCGCTTGCGGTTGTCTCATCGCAAAACTGGTAGACAAGCAAATTCTTCGCCTCGCGTCCCTCACGACTTAAAACCTCTCGCATTTCCATAGTCTTCTTCTGATACGTTTGTTATGCTTTTGATATACGCGCTTTGTGTGTGTGTGTAAGTGCGCACGCTGTTTTAGCCCGCTGCCTACGCCAGCGCCAACGCCAACGTCAACGCCTACGCCAGTCTCCCAAAAAACGCAGCTGTTCGCACACCTTTCTGTTTGTTCCTATTTCAACAGTTAAATTCGTTTGCGATTCGCAGCTGCTGTTGCTCCATGCACAAAATGTTTGCTATTTGTAACAATCTCAATTGATGGCTATGCAATTTGCTGCACACTTATGTGATTTTTATATTTTACTGTCTTTTAACGGCCGCCGTTGTTGTTGCTTTTGTAGCTGCTGCTGTTGTTGTTGCTGCTGCTGCTGTTGTGTCTGCTGCTGCCGCTGCTGCTGAGAATTTCGCAATGACAGCTTCTAACATTTTTGCGCAATACACACGCTTATGCTTTTTGTCTAGACACACGCAGGCTACTAGAGCTACTAAATTGTTTTGAATGTTCAGCTGTTGCTACTGTTACGCAGGTGTCTTTATTATAAACTAAAAATAATTTTAAATCTCAGCACGGACGTCGAATTGCATGCCAAACGAAATCAGCTGTCCCTGTCTTTGTATCGAACAGTGTGTACACACTGCCTTACTGTAGCTTATCGATAATGTAAGCAATATATCGCATGCTCTACGCACTGAAATAACTATTTATATACAATAAAAACTGTTTATAATTATAATTATATTTAAACAGTCAATAAATAACAATGATTATTGTTAGTTAAGTATCAACTATCGCCATCTATTAATATCGTATACATATCAAAGCGATATATCGATAATATAGCATATTCTCTTGTTTACACATTTATTATACAATAATCACAATATTATTTAGCTTAATTATGGATCTATCAATTCAAATTATTTAATATCTAATTCTTTTTATTATGATTTCAAAATATATTTGCAACTATCGCAACAACTGCCATGGCTCACCGCTACAATGTCTTATTGACATCACTAATTCGCATTCCGTCACAAACAGTGTGTGTGCAAAGAAGAAGATACGCACGCACGGACCGTGATTGCGGAGTTTTGTTTTTGCATTCGAAGAACTTGTCGATTTTAACTTCTTTAATTAGCAATTTCACCAAATTGCTCCAAACAAATTCCGTCTCAAGTGCAACGAAAATACGTACTACATATATATAGCATACAACTAAAGTTTGTTGGCTACCACGGCTCGTCTGGACAGCAACAATTAATAAAATGAAAGTGGAAATCGTGTGATGTCATGTCGACGACGGCAGCAGCAGAGACGTCGACCGTTCTGTGAATTGAAACTTCCTGTTCTCGCTCTCTCTTTCTCTGTGAAACCCACTCTGTCCTCCCACTGTTTGCCGTATGATAGATCCTGTTGAAGGTAGCCAAAAAGTGCGACAAGTGATGGTGAATTAATTTTTGGCAAAGCAGAAGATTAAAGTAAAAAAGAAAATATAAAAGAAAAGAAAAAATTCCAATTTTCATTCCACCGCTCAGCTGCAAATGTGCCAGTGTGAATAGCAGCACAAAAGAGAAAAGGTGAAACGAGCCAAACACATACGCACGCACGCACACACACACGGAGAAGCTTGCGTGTAGGTGTGAGTTGGACAGCAACAGCGGCCAAAGCACTAAAAAAAACACAGCAACAACACAATAAAAACAGTTTTTTATTGATTTCCCTCCAAAAAAAAAAGAAACAAAATAAATAAATAAAATAACACAAACAATTTGACGACGATTCCGCCCAAGCAACAGGAGCAGCTGCATTTGCCACGCCTGTATATAGACCGTGGTACCGTCCTTAAGCTACACACACACACATTCCCACTCCCTTTTCGTCCCCCCGTCACCACCTCCGCCCACTCACCATGTCCAGCCCCAGCGCCAACGCTGATGCCCAACCAGTTGTGGAGCAGTTGCGCTTGGAAGTGGAGCGACTGACACGCGAACTCGATCAGGTGTCCAGCGCCAGCGCTCAATCTGCACAATATGGCCTCTCGCTGCTGGAGGAGAAGTCGGCACTGGAGCAAAAGTGCGAGGAGCTGGAAACCCTCTACGATAACACACGCCATGAACTGGACATTACGCAGGAGGTAAGCACAAAAGAAACAGTTGAACAGCTGTGTCTATGTGTGTGTGTGTGTGCGTGGGGGTGTTCACTGGATTTAAACTGCCGCTATTTGGCAGCAAACACACACAAACAGTCAAGTATAAGCATGCACATGCATGTAAAGCCCACACATACATGTGAATAGCCTACACACACACCGACATAATCGCTGTTAGACCAAAAGTTTTTGCAATTGGTTTGCAATTTGCCTTGTTGGCAGAAAACAGTAAGCACTCGCTAAAGCGTACACTTGGATTAGCAAACATTGAGTGAATGTTGCAGCACTTGATTTCTTTAGTAGAACTAACAGGTTGAATAAGCGAACAGAATATCTTTTTATTGGTATGCTAAAAAGATAATGCGACTACAGTGAAAGCTAAAATATGATGAATTCTTTAATGTGTAAACAATCTATTTTCAAAATATATAAGAATATAGCATATTATTTGTCTACTACATCGCATATTAGCTATGACAATATCCAATTGGATTTAGCCTGAAAATATTCACATATTTCAAACATAAATATTGTAACTTCTCCACTATCGATTGTAACTACTGCTGTTGTTGTTCTCTTCTAGCCCATTCGCCATATCGAATCTCCACTTTTATGCTACACCGCTCTCTCACTCTCCAATTCGTACTCTCCTCGCTCTGGGCGCCTTTGCTTGTCCAGCTCTGATAATCACAAATGATTTAATCGTTTAGCTGGTCACATGTTGATTTTCCTTCGTTCTACAAACTGGGCTTGCGGTACTTGGCGCCGCTTGAATGAACGCCTACGCTCAGTCGCTCTCCACTCAACAATAGTCTCCACTCTTTAACAGCCATCTCTCTAGGTCTTTCTCTCTCCCTCTCTCTCGCTGCTTGATCATGGTCAATTTGGCATGCGCTTTATTATCGCCACTCAGTTCAGTTGCTTTTGCTGTTGTTGTTGTTGTTGTTGCCGACTGACTTGGTTTATATGAATGCTGATATGTTTTTTTCTCATTCCATTTTGCACCTGTGTTCGCTCGCCAACTGTCAGACTGGCAATTAGCCACGGCAATTGTTTTTGGCATTTCCGTTGGAATTTTTCGAATGTGCATTGCGGAAAAGCCCAACAACAACGCCAACAGCAACAACAAAAAAGTTTGTCCTTCGCCCAAAGGGCTTTAGCGGTAATATAAATAACTTTTGCCTGTCGACTCATTATCATTTTGTTTTGCACCTTTTATTTATGTGTTGTTTCTTTCTCTGCCTTTTATTGTTGCCCCTGGCGTTAATTACGCGATTCGTTGCCAAAACAATGAATCGATTGGTCGTATTTCAAGTCAAGTTTTAGCTTGTTTCAAAGCCGAACTAGTTCCAAGTAGAAATATTTTTATTTGAAGTAGGAATTTATGTGTTAAGATTTTGTATTTGCTTATGAAAGATGATGATATTTAGGAGTATAGAAACAATTGTCCATATAAATAGGATAACAAATAAGAGGATATATTTACAAAGGAATATATAAAGCCTTATGCAACAGACTGAGAAAGTCTAATTTAAAATATTATTAAGTACCTTTTTGATCCTATATTAACATATGTATATATAGATTTATATTTGCCCTTGAATTTTTAAATAATTAAATTTTATTATAGATTATAGCTTCTCATATGTTTTACCACTCAATTCCAAACATTTCTCAATCACACGCTTCTCTAGTTTTCCAAACTTAATTCCACATTCCATTTTCATATCACCTGCACTGTTTGATTAATTGTACGACAGGTGGCGCCCACTTGCTGGCCCACTAGGCCGTTGGCTTGATAGTTTCCAGCTTGTTAGCTTTGAACTCAACTGAACTTTTAACGAGAGAGCTGATGCCGCGAGCAAAATACACCCACACACACAAACACACACACACGCACACACTCTCACTCATTTACACGCGCATTAATGCATGCTTAAAATTAAAAAAAAAAAAGGAAGGAAAGAGAGAAAATTATTTGCAGCGTCGACGACAACGCTGCGGGCATTCGGTCTCCGCCTTGTGCCAGAGCTGTGGCTGGGAGGGGCGTGGGCGTGGTTGGGCGACATATTTCCCACTTGTAATCAAGATATCAGCCCGTGGGCGAGTTTACCCCCTAAATGAACATAAATCAGAGTCGCCCTGAACAGAGACGAAGAGTTTTGAGAGCTGAGCAGCAGCCGCAGCAGCCGCCGCATCCTGCCAAATGGCTGCAGCCAAATTAGCCTGGCCAAAATTAATAGAATATTTTCCCCATATAGAGCTGGCGGCGATAATTTTCTCGCCGACTAGGCCTAAATGTGCAGGCATTTTGATTGCGCGCTTAAATGGGGTAAGGGGAAATTTTCGGAAAATCGCAAAATATGCCAAATTGGCCAAAATTCGACTGCAGTCGAATGCAAATGTTTAGACGGAATGTTAAGCTCTGCGCCAAAGTGAAGTTAAGAATTTATGTAGTTGACTTTGTGGTTTGTGTGTGTGTGTAGGCGAGGGGCGTAACTAGGCGTGGCACGTTACACATGTTGTTTGGACGTTTGTCTAACTGCGGCAATTAAGAGGCGGCCAAAACAACAGCCATAAAACCGAAGCCAACTTCGAGTCACTCTCTCTGTGTGTGTGTGTGTGTGTGAGTGTGTGTGCGTGTCAGTCGGTCTGTGTGTGTGTTATTTGACCATATTTTATGACTCGCCTGATGGCAGCCAAGGACATTTCGCCCAGGGACCTCATCGTCCTCGCTCGCATAGTTGTTGCGGCCTGTGTGAGTTGTTAACTTGACAAAGGCCACAAAAGTTTTTAATACCAACTTTAATAATTAATGCCATTATTTACACGGCAACTGGTAGATAGATAGAGCGGGCGATAGGGAACATTGGGGAGCGAGACGTAGGGTGAGCGAACTACGAACTATGCAAATTGAAGAATTTTTAAATAGAGCACATAAATTGCAACGAGAAAACTGTTGACAAAATTCTAAGAGGAATATTTGAGAGCGTTAGTTTAGTTTAGTTAGTTTAGAGTGGGAATATCCGGAGGCTTTAGATTCTTACGCATGAGCAGTTATAAAATATGTTTAAACTATAAAACTATGAAGCAGAAGTTGATTAGGTCGATAAAATAATCAGAGTTGATCATAGCTAATAACAAGAGAAACAGATTATATATGTATAAAGAGCACTAAATATCGGAAGGTGATAAGAATCAAATCAGTTATCAGGTAATGCAAGAGAAGAAACTTTGAGATTTATATATTTAATAGAAAATGTTGAAGAAACTCTATTAAATGATAGTAAGAGTATTTAAGTAGTCAAAGAATCATAATAATTATAAAGCTTACGTCAATAAGTTATCAAAATATAATGAGAATACCCTGATTACCCAATTTCAATGGGTTCAGAGTATTAAAACTGATTAAAAAGCTCAAGATATTGAAGAAAATATGTTAGTGAAGAACTATAGATTAAAGAATATGGAATCGAAAAACCAATGCCTGACTGCATTTGCTGATTATAGACTAAAAGGTATTCCCTAAACTTGATCTGTCTTCCACCTTGAACTAGTTACACCGTAAAGTCATTCAATGTTAAGCCCTTTGATGAGCTCTGACTAAACCTCAGTATTCTTTCGCCTATTTCCCATTTTTTCCGCTGTAATACCTCACATCAAATCACAGATTCAGTTCCGAATCATAATTGCATTTGCATATTTTTCTCATTATAGATCCTAACTCACTCCATCCCCGCACTCACCTTTGACAGTAGAATCTCCAAAGGGCTCGCTTAATTACTCAAACCGCTTTAGTCCAATCTGAGCCTTAATTTCCACAAATATTCAGCTGACAAAGAAAACTGCAGCCCAGCCAAAAGTCGTTAGGCTAAATCCTTGCCAAGCACTAAAAAACAATATGAAAAGCGCCCAGGACACAACCGAGCTGGGGCCTGGGAGTCCTGGCAGCAGGATAGAAAAAATAAAATCCCGACGAAGAAATTATAATGATTTGACGCTGATGCTCTGTTCTGTTGGCGCAAATTGCAATTCTACGGCAATCAAATCCGGCAACAACATGGACGACAGACAATTGCAGCGGCAGGGGGCCAAGTCTGTGGGGCAGGGTTAAGGGTAGGCGAGCAAGGGTTAACTGCTGCAGCAATGACAAAACATGTTTCCGAGCTGCCTGCAGTCGCAGTCGCAGTCGTCGTCGCAGTTGTCATTTGTAGCTGCCGCTGGTGCTGCAAGGGAAATGAGCAGGAAAAATGTTGTTCCCAAACCATTTGGCGGTGTCTGCAATGAAAATTTAAAAGCAGCTGTCAACTGAAGAGGGGGCCAGAGAGAGAAAGAGGGGGATGGGGACTGACTGGCGAGGAAATCTCACAGCAAGTCGCTCTTGGAGAGGCTGCGGCAATGCAACAAACAGTTGCAACAGCTTTTACACGCTACGCCAATTGGAAATGCTGCAAAAGAGGGTATATTCAAAGGCCCAGCAAGGCAATTCCATTAGGCTGCATTCATTTAATTTATTTTCTTATTATCGATTTACAGTATCAAGGTCTTTGAAATGATAGTAATTATGTATATAGAAGAAAGAAGAATTAACTTATGTAAATAGACTTGGTAGGACACAAGAGCTTTAGTTTGTAGTATGTATAAATATTGATTATAGCTATCGATATTTTAACCTGCCTAGCCCTAATCTTACACTAGCCCAAGAATCGATAAATATCGCTTGAGTGCTGAAAGTGTTTATAGATAAAGTGAGCAGAACTGTATACACAACTTAGTAAACATATCAGAATAATGTGAGTTTATCAGCAATATCTTCAATTTGCTGCAAATCGATAAATATCGGCAGGGAAACCATGCCCTTGGATCGTACATGTATAGAAGTAGATGATAGCTCAGTTGATGAATATAAGTTGGCCTATAAAAGACATTAAGCAGCTTATAGATGATATATGTAAACAATCGAAAATCGATAAATATCGACTATG